GGGGGGGGGGGGAACAACTATACAATACAACGAGAAATTATTTCTTCATTTTATTCTCTTATTTTAACATAACATGCATGTAATTAAATTTATTAAACACTGAATAAACATCATTGCTATAAAGAAAACACACTTTCTAGATGTGATTTATTCATTATTATTAGAAAGAGATTGAGGTTAATTTGATTATGCCAGCTGAAACTTGACTTTGAATGGAACATCACTTAGAGCCAAACGCCTATACCCATTCTGATCCACAAAGACACCAACATCCTTGCACATATGATTGGAAGATGGAAACACACTGGGACAGTAAACAATCTTATAAGCACCATCAAACTTCTCGATCTTGAACCAGTTGCGTATGGTTTGCCAACCTGGCTTGCCCAAAGAGCCACCAGTGGTCACAAACCACTGTCTTTTAGAGACATCGAAGTGATCCAATTTCCACACTGTAGAATACTCAGGACAACTGGTACGATCAGTGGAGAACATGATGTTCAAATCAGTGGAGACACGAACAACACCTTTCTTAGGGTCAACGGGTGAAAATGTGAGTGGCAAGCCATGAGATCCTGGCACAAGAACAACATCAAGAGGGCATGATTCACCAATGCTGGCAAGTGAAAGGCCTCCACCACTAATGCATCTTCCGTACCTTCCACATCTTGTGAAGGGCACAGCTGGAACAATGTAGTAACCCACACCAGCTCGGAGTTTCTTGCCTGATGTGTCTACTACTTGCTCAGGTGATGCATCAGCTGCACCAAGTAGTGGTTGTGAGCTCAAGGCAATGAGAAGCACAAATGCCAGATATATGTTCTTCATTATTGATTTGTATACAATTCAAGGTACTTTGTATTTTGGTTGATGATGGATGGAGGATAAGAGAGATAACTGAATTTATAGATATCTTCAACTAATGCCAGTTCTACCTTTGGATCCTTTGTTATTAGTGTAATAGATATAATATGTTTATGCTTGTAGTATTTGAAGAATACAATTGGCCATATTATGTTGATAAATTTATCTGAAATCATGTAACTATGTATCGCTTACTGTGTACACATGGTTGGCGTCAATGTTCTTTGTGGTCATGGCCTTTTATTTTACAACTGGTTGAAACCATTTTTGCGTCTCTCTAGGCGATGAATTCAGAATTCCCTTCCATAAAAAGTATGCAAGTATTTGGAGAACCATGTGTTACATCTTGTTGATTCTATGGTCCGGAGGTGTTTGGAGAACAATATGTTATATCTTGTTGATTCTATGGTCTGTTCGCTCATGTAATGCCATGATTAATTGTTATTCAAAGGGATTAGGTAGTCTAACCTGTGGGCTAATGCATATAGAGCAATGTTTTTTTTATAGTTAATTTCATGTTTATCGTAATTAATAAAGAATACCAGCAATGTTTTTTTTATTCTTCTGGAATGGTAAAATATATAATAATTAAAGTATAACGGATGTATACCTGTGTCCTTCTACATCAAAAATTGTTGAAAGATTACAAAAGGTGATCGTACGTTAAACAGAATTAGACTTACGGCAGAAATTATTGAAATAATAGCAGAAAAGGTTAAGTTTGCCCATTTTAAAAGAAGGTTTCTTATATACCGATGAAAATATGGGTCCAACTGTATTACTATTGTGCAAATCAATGACCTTTTCCGTGTTTATGATTATCCTGAATCCCATAGATAAAATCCCTCCTAGCAACCTATAAATTGATGCAAACCTCCCACAAACTCCATCCATCAGTAACCAAAACACAAATTACTCAAATCAAATCAACACAAAACAATGAAGACCACACTCTTAGCATTTGTTCTTCTCTTTGCCTTGAGCTCACGACCACTCCTTGGATCAGCTGAAGCTTCACCTGACCAAGTGGTAGACACATCAGGCAAGGTGCTCCGGGTTGGTGTCAACTACAAAATTCTTCTGTCCATGCCCTACACTACTTGTAGAAGTCCACAAGGCCTTGGCCTCTCATCAAAGATTGGTAAATCATCATGCCCTCTTGATGTTGTGGTTGTGGATAGATATCATGGCTTGCCACTAAGGTTTATACCTATTAACCCCAAAAAAGGTGTTATTCGTGTCTCTACTAACCTCAACATCATCATGTTCCCTCCTAATGTGAGTTGCCCTCACCATTCCACAGTGTGGAAGATTGACATTTCTAATGTTTCTAAGGGACAGTGGTTTGTGACTACTGGTGGTGTTGTGGGAAAACCGGGTAGGGAAACCATTGGCAATTGGTTCAAGATTGAGAAGTATGATGGTGCTTATAAACTAGTATATTGTCCCAGTATGTGCCCTTCTTGCAAGAATGATCAGTGTAAGAATGTTGGGATGTTTGTGGATCATAAGGGAAACCAGCGTTTGGCTCTAAGTGATGCTCCCTTCCAAGTTAAATTCCTTAAGGCCTAACCAATGCATGCTCCTCTGGTTGTGCACAGACAACTATGAATATTTTAGTATATTTCCTAATGATGTGTTCATTCAAAGGGTTGATATATTTATTATCAGGATTTCCTAATGATGGATTTCCTTGTTAAGAAAATAAATAAGTAATTGAATAAAATAAACAAATGTTTTCTTGTATGATGTATTTGAATTTCATGTCTCGCTAGCTATAGTAGGTATATGATCATCGAAAAACAGAATAAACATATCTTTCGTGCAAGAGCTTACAAATGAAATTTATTTTAGACATATAGGACTTACAAAATTATCAGTAGGAACTTGAACCAAAATCAGAGAATCACGACAATCAATGGATACTACGGAGCAATTCTGCTCTAGAATGAACCAGTAACTGGGTGTTGAATATTCATCATTTGAGATAGTGCTAGTTATATCTAAAATTATCAGTAGGAACTTGAACTAAAAAGCAAAGAGATATCTTTATGATTATGTCCCAAGTTCACTAGTCACCACCTCCTCTGGTGACTGGTGGAAGTAGATTCTACCCATCACAAAATTATAGAAATTAATGATCTTGAACCTGTGAGCAAGACCTCTTCATTCTAACTCCACTCAAGCTACTCCTAGACTCCATCATTGTAATGAGGGAGAGCCACTTCCTTGGACCTGGTTCTGGCCTTTGCTTTGGAGCACTATGAGACGTCAATTTGGCCTTAAAAAGACTGAGTACTGAGGAAGAAGTTATTGGTACACACAATATTTGGTGTCTTACTTGGGGAGGAAGTTGTGTTATTTAAACAATTATGGTCGATAAAAGCTCCACCGAAGGCACTTATCTTCCTTTGGAGGGTAGCTAATAGAGGCAATATTCTTACGGCTAACATCCTAAAAATAAGGAATTTAAACTTTGATGAACAACAATCGCTTTGCGTGTTATGTAATAAGGTGGAGGAAATAGTTTCACATTTATTCTGCACCTGCCAAGAGGTAGATAATATTTGGAAAGGATGGTTGAAATGGATAAAATGTCCATCTCCCTTCCCACAAGACGTGATACAATCACTTCAACTTTATACCGACACCTTTATCATCTAATTACCAAATAGAATTATGGAGAACTTTACTTCAACTTTATACTGACATCTTTATCATCTAATTACCAAATAGAATTATGGAGAACTTTATGGTTGGCAATGATTCGAATAGTGTGGATGCATAGGAATAAGTGTAGGTTTGAAGGTGTAATTTTTAGCCGAGAAAACACGGTCAGAGAGATTATGTGCACTTCATGGCAGTGGATGAAGTTGTTAAAATATGATACAAACTTCTAGAATAATCTAGACTCTTATAGAAAAAAAAATAGGTATGCTAGTAATTACTAGATACAAATTCTAAAATCATGTAGATAATTATATATATAGATAGAAAACTCTAGAACTAGATATCTCTAGAGATTTCTACATACAACATGAATGATGTCTTGAGGCCTATAAATAGGCCATGTGCTCAACATTTGTACCAAGCGACTAGTAAGCCATTTTCACTACTCAAATCTATTCTAACTATTTCTTTAAACTAGTTTTCCTCTCAACTAAGCTTATCATTATAAATTTGTTTCTCCATTCTTTCTACCAATCAAATAAGCTTTTACTATTTGATAATTCATAAACTAACAGTGGTACTAGAGCTACATTTGGTCATCTACTGGGCGTAGAAATATTACTCCACTACTTCCAAAAAAAATTTTCCTAATATTCTACTCACTTTCAAAAAACAAATTCTAATCCATGGCTAACACCATTCAACCATCATCTATCCCTATTCCCATTTTTAATGGTGAAAATTATGATTTTTGGAGTACAAAAATGAAGACATATTTCACCTTCCAAGATTTATGGGACATGATAGAAGAAAGATTTTCTACTCCAGAAGACACCTCAGCCCTTACTGCAGCTCAAAAAAAGGAGTTAAAAGAGAACAAACAAAAGAATTCAAAGGCGTTATTCATTTTGCAACAAGCTGTGACCGACACAATTTTTTCGAGAATAATGGGTGCAACAACCGCCAAAGAAGCATGGACTACACTACAAGAGGAGTTCGAAGGAAATGAAAAGGTACGTGCCGTAAAATTACAAACTCTACGGCATAACTTTGAATTGTTAAATATGAAGGAATCTGAGACCGTAAAGGACTACTATTCTAAGATAAAAGAAATAGTTAACCAAATGAAAGCGTACGGGGAAAATATTCTTGACAAGAAAATTGTGGAGAAAATTCTAATTAGTGTTCCCCCTAAATATGATCCAATCATGACAACAATTGAGCAAACAAAAGATCTATCTACCTTATCAGTAACAGAGTTGATTGGGTCACTTGAAGCTTACGAGCAAAGGTTGAATAGGCATGATGAAGACTCAACTGAAAATGCCTTTCAATCAAAGCTCAAATTACGGTCACAAAATAAAGATAAAAGGAATAATGGAGAAACTTATAGAAATAAAGAGAATTCTAGAAATTTCTCTAGAAATTATCAAAATGAATATCCTCCATGCGGCATTTGTAAGAGGACAAATCATGTCGAGAAAGACTGTCGATATCGTGGAAAGCCACAATGCCGCCACTGCAAAAAATTTGGACATGTGGAGAAGTATTGCTGCAACAAAAATAAGCATCAAGCAAACTTTGCTGAAGAGAAAGATGGTGAACAACATCTTTTCTATGCTAGCCAAGATTCCAATAGTGAAACAAGTGGAAGTTGGTACTTGGATAGCGGCTTTAGCAATCATATGGCCAAAGATGCAAGCATCTTCAAGGATATTGACAAATCCGTCAAAGTGAAAGTCCGAATGGGGAATGACACTGTCGTTGAATCAAAAGGCAAAGGCACAGTTATGGTGGAGACGAAGAAAGGTACGAGACTTATTACTGATGTTCTACTAGTTCCCAATCTTAAAGAAAATCTCTTGATTATTGGCCAAATGATGGAGAAAGGTTATACTCTCCATTTCGAAGGAGACACATGTAAAATATATGACAATAAAAAACTAGAAATTGGCCGAGTAAAAATGGAGAAGAGGAATAGAAGTTTCCCTATAAGCCTGAGACAAGGCCCTAACATTGCCATGAAAGCAGAAGTAGACGACTCATGGCTTTGGCATCAAAGATTTGGCCACTTTAATACACATGCCTTAAAGTTATTATATCAAAAAAATATGATGAGAGATCTCCCATGCCTAAAAGAGAATACTGAAGCTTGTGAAGGATGTCTTCTTGGCAAACAACATCGACTGTCATTTTCAACAGGCAAAGCATGGAGAGCAAAGGACTTATTGGAGCTGATCCATACAAATATATGTGGACCAATGCGGACGTCGTCACTCCATAATAACAGGTATTTCATTCTCTTCATAGATGATTTTTCTAAAATGACTTGGGTCTACTTCATAAAAGCAAAATCAGAAGTCTTTGGTGTTTTCAAGAAGTTTAAGACCCTTGTCGAAAAGTAAAGTGGTAAACAAATAAAAGTACTTAGAAGTGATCGTGGCAAAGAATACACTTCCCATGAGTTTGATAAATTTTGCGAAGATGAAGGCATTAAACGACAACTTACAGTTGCATATTCTCCACAACAAAATGGAGTATCTAAACGGAAAAACCGCACAGTAATGGAGATGGCCAGATCAATGCTCAAGGAGAAAAGATTACCAAACACTTTTTGGGCTGAAACAGTTTATACTGCTGTCTACATACTTAATAGATGCCCAACTAAGGTAGTCTAAGATAAGACTCCAATTGAAGCTTGGAGCGAGAAAAAACCATCAGCAAAGCACCTAAGGGTATTTGGATCTATTTGCTACATACACATTCCAGAAGAGAAAAGACACAAGCTAGAAGACAAGACAATACGAGGCATCTTCCTTGGATATAGCACATAGTCAAAAGGCTACCGCGTCTACAACTTGCAAACCAAGAAGTTGATTATTAGTCAAGATGTTCAAGTTGATGAAAATGCGACTTGGAATTGGAATGATGAGAAAGTAGAGAAAAACATTCCTATCTCAATTCAGCAACCAGAAGAAGTAACTACAGAAGTCCCAGGTGAGCCTCATTCTCCTCCACAACATCAGACTCCATCACCAGAGTCTACTCCAAGAGGAGTTAGATCCTTGGAGGATATATATGAAACCTGCAACTTGGCCATACTTGAACCTGAAAGCTTTGAGGCAACATCAAAGCAACAAGTATGGGTCAAGGCTATGAAAGAAGAGATAAAAATGATTGAGAAAAATAACACAGGGGATCTAGTAGACTATCCAAAAGACAAAGATATCATCGGGGTAAAATGGGTTTACAAGACAAAGCTCAATTCGGACGGTACCATACAAAAGCACAAGGCAAGGTTGGTAGCTAAGGGCTATTCACAACAACTTGGAGTCGACTACAACGAGACATTTGCCCCAGTAGCACGCCTAGATACAATTAGAGCTCTAATAGCTCTTGCGGCAGAAAAAGGCTGGAATATCTACCAGTTAGATGTCAAGTCCGCTTTTCTCAATGGAGTACTACAAGAAAAGATCTATGTAGAGCAACCACAAGGTTTCATAAGCAAGGGCAATGAAGACAAAGTACTAAGGCTTAGAAAAGCTTTATATGGTTTGAAGCAAGCTCCTCGAGCATGGTATAGCAGAATAGATCAATACTTCACCGATCATGGATTCAGGAGGAGTAAGAGTGAGCCAACACTATACATCAAGACCCAAGGTCAGTATGACACTCTCATTGTCTCCTTATATGTAGATGATCTTATCTACACAGGGAACAATATGAAGATGATGACAAAATTCAAAGAAGACATGATGAAGACATTTGAAATGACAGACCTTGGCTTGATGAACTACTTCCTTGGTATTGAGGTAAGTCAAAAGAAGAAAGGGATATTCATTTGTCAAAAGAAATACACTGAAGCTCTCTTAAAGAAGTTTAAGATGAGTGGTTGCAAGACTGTCACTACTCCGCTTGTGACAAAGGAGAAGCTACAGAAAGATGATGGAGCACCAGATGCTGATGCATCTCGCTATAAAAGTTTGATTGGAAGCTCACTATATTTAACAGCCACACGACCATACATAATGTATGCTGTAAGCCTTTTATCAAGGTTTATGCAAAAACCAAGCCAAATTCACTTTGGAGCAGCTAAAAGAATTATAAGATACCTACAAGGCACGAAGGAGTTTGGTATTTGGTACAAAACAATGACCAACTCAAGTTTGCTCGGATACACCGATAGTGATTGGGTAGGATCGGTAGATGACATGAAGAGCACCTTTGGTTATGCCTTCTCACTTGGATCAGGAATATTTTCTTGGGCATCAAAAAAGCAAGCAACAGTTGCACAATCAACTGCAGAGGCAGAATATGTTGCAGCGGCTGAAGCTACAAGTCAAGCAATTTGGCTACGAAGAATACTTGCAGAAATAGGAGAACAACAAGATGGGCCTACTACAATCTACTGCGACAATAAATCAACAATCGCAATGACAAAAAATCCAATACATCACAGCAGGACAAAACACATTGCAATTAAATATCACTTCATCAGAGAAGCAGAAACAACTAGAGAAATCAAGATGGAGTATTGCAAGACCAAAGAGCAAGTTGCTGACATATTCACAAAGGCACTGCCGAGAGCAAGATTTGAACAGTTTCGCACTATGATAGGAGTTAGAAAAATTTGTATCAAGGAGGAGTGTTAAAATATGATACAAACTTCTAGAATAATCTAGATTCTTATAGAAAAATACATAGGTATGCTAGTAATTACTAGATACAAATTCTAGAATCATGTAGATAATTATATATATAGATAGAAAATTCTAGAAATAGATATCTCTAGAGTTTTCTACATAAAACATGAATGATGTCTTGAGGCCTATAAATAGGCCAT